TGAAACCGCAGCGCATTCGTGGCTAACTTGCCCTAGATCGCCAACCAAATAAAGCATCTTACCCGCTCCGGTACAAGCAGTCGCCATATCTCCTTCCAAATCCCATCCGTATCCTGCTGGTCTTGCTTAGTGAGGAGTGCATATGCTGATTTAGTGGAAAAACGACCATCTGCTGCTGGAGCCCAGAAAAGAGAGTCCTCCTCTTGGGAAATAATGTCTACTACCGTGCTCAAAATCTTGCTACTGACGTCGGTTGCAAGGTGCTCAGAGAAAAGCTCAGTACACCAACTGCCGTCTGCACGAACAAAATCAGTAACCACTACATTGACTGCATCCTCCGGCAAATCTCCGATCACCAAATCCTTCAAGGGAACCTGCAAAACCCACGGGTCAGACCAAAACTTAGTTCTTCTCCCATTTCTAATATTCCATGCACAACCTTGTTTAAGAAGGTCAGCAGCTTTAGAGTAGCTACTCCAGGTGAAGGAACTTTCCTGAACTTTCCGCAAGACATCGAGATGGGCTCTCTGACCCCCGTACTTCGACAGGAGGAGCTGCTGCCAGATACTCTCCTTATCTCTGAGCAGCCGCCACCCCCCCTTGGCAAGCACTGCTAGATTAGCCTGTCGGGTTGGCCGAATTCCCACTCCCCCTTGCGCTTTAGGCACCGTCAGTCTATCCCAAGCCACCAGACGGAACTTGGAGTGATTCTCCTCGTCTCCCTAGATAAAATCCCTACTAATCTTGTCAATAATTCTGCAAACACCACTCGGGATTAGCTCTGTATGCATAGTATAGACGGGTAAAGAAGAGCTACCGATCTAGCCACTGTAAGCCGAGCAGCGAAAGACAGCCGTTTCGCCTTCCACGGTGCCATCTTCTTATGAATGCGCAAGATAAGGGATTGGTATCTCCCCTTCGTGACCCTCTCTTGGATTGCCTGGATGCCAAGAAATCTTCCCAAAGCTGCTTTTAACGGGATCCCCGCATACGCGCTAAGCGCCTCCGCTTTATTCCTTGCAATATTCGGGGAGACATAAATGATGGATTTACTGAAATTCACCCGCTGGCCCGAGCTGTGAAAGAAATCCTCCAAGCATTTCTTGATGACTCCAATCTGCATCCTTTCTGCTTCTGCAAAGAGCAACAAATCATCTTCAAAGAAATGATGAGTTAGTGGCGGCCCGGACCTGGTAAGCCTCACAGCTTTCCACCGTCCATCATTGACCGCCTCATCTATCTTATGAGAAAGACGCTCCATACAGAGAACAAAAAGATAGGGAGAAAGAGGGTCTCCCTGACGGACTCCGCGAGACGGCGTGATGGGTTGAGACAACTCTCCGTTCCATCTAATCCTCATGGTGTTGTTTTCTATGCAGTACATGATGCAGCTAATCCAGCTACTCGGCAGGCCGACTTCCTTCAAGGTGTCCCTCAAAAAGTCCCACCGCAGCATGTCGTACGCCTTTTCCAAATCAATCTTAAAAACCATGCCTCCCTTCTTTCCTCTTCTTTTCCTGAAGGAGTGAAGCACTTCCTGGACTACTATGATGTTATCCGTCGTTTGTCTCCCTGGAATGAAGCTGCTCTGCCTCGGGGAAACCCATTTGCGCATCATGGGCTTCAATCTCGAGGTCATGGCCTTGGTAATACTTTTGAGGCAGACGTTGTTGAGGGAGATGGGATGAAGCTGAGTAACTCTTTCCAGCGAATCCACTTTAGGAATGAGAATTAGCGTGGACTCCGTCACCGCCTCCGGCAGCGTACCTGTCATAAAAAAAGACAAAGCCATATCGGAGAGAGACTTCTCTACCACCTGCCAGAACTGCTGGTAGAACACAGCCTGGAAGCCATCCGGGCCCGGGGCCTGGAACGGCTTCATGTCAAAAATCGCCTTGTGAATGTCCTGGATGCCAAACGGTTTGAAAAGAGCTGCAGCTTCAGTGTGACTCAGCCGAGGAAAAATGCCCTTAGGCATCCTGTCCTCGTACAAGGAGCTCTCATGCAGGTACATATTAGTGAAAAAATTAAAAACAAGAAGAGCCAGAGATTGAGAATCAATCACCCAGATGTCATTATCGTCCAGGAGAGTCTCGATCTTGTTAATCCGTCGCCGGATATTAACCTGCTGATGGAAGTAAGCAGTGTTCCTCTCCCCAAACTTAACCCAGTTATCCCTTGAGCGCTGAAACCAAATCAATTCCTCCTGTTCGAGCACTTTGTCCAACTCTTCTGACAACTTGGAATGTAGCTTGGCCAACCCCGGCGCGAAACCAACTGCCAACCTTGTTTCAACACCCTTAATTCTCGCCAGAAGCCTTCTTTTCCGCTGCTTAACGTCCCCGAAAACCTCAACATTCCACTGCCCAAGTTGCACAGCCAGCGAGTGAAGTGCGTCCGGAAGAGGAGCATTCCCGTCCCAGGCATCAGTTATCAACTTCGGAAGACTATTATCCATCATCCATGCCGCCTCAAACCTGAATTGTCTCGAGGAGTTGGGCTGGCTTAGCTGCAGGTCCACGCTGGTAAGAATAGGATTGTGGTCCGATTGATAGCGGGGGAGATGAATTACCGTCGAGTTAGGAAAAGTTGCGTTCCATCTAAGATTGCATAAGCTCCTATCCAACCGACTTGCCTTGTAAGTATGGCCTTGATCTCCTCTGGACCAGGTATACCTTTGTCCCGAAAAACCAAGATCCACCAACTCTGCCGAATTAATTCTCTCCGTGAAAAGCTGATACCGCCTCAGAGTATTCCTCGCAGGCAACCCCGATTTCTCCTCTGGTTTGCTAATGGCATTGAAATCCCCTGTAAGCAGCCAAGGAATTTCAATACATTTGCTTTCGGAAAGCAGGCCCTGCCAGAGAACCCGTTGCTCCCGCTGCCGAGGGGAAGCATAGATTGCCGAAAGCATCCACGGAGGGTCATTGCCTCTAGAAACTTGGAGGGTTAAGTGCTGTGAGCAGGCTGCAAAAGGCTGCACCGAGAAGATTCCCCCGTCCCAAAACACCCACACTCCACCTGCCCGACCTTCCGCCTCCACCCTGCACGAATTGGGGAAGCCCAAAAATATCGCACACTGCGTTAGCCGATTCGCCGCTCATCTGAGGCTCCAGCAACACTACAAAATCAGGGTGGTGATTCTGAATTGCTAATTTCAGAGCTCGATAAAGAGCTCTGCTTCCGGCTCCTCTGACATTCCATAAAACACTCGCAATTTGTAATTCATCGAAAAAATTAATAGAGAGAACAAGAAGAGGGGAAGCAGGGAGCGGCACTGCAATAGGCGAGGAGAAAGCGCCCCACTTACGCTCCGATGCCGTCAATCGGCCTGTCGTCGTCCACAATTTGGCCGATCTGCTTTGCCGGATCGCTCTCCCCTTCTCTATTCACTGGTCGTTTTGCTGCTTCTGTCCAAGCATTAATCTCTTGCAATGTCAGTGTCGCCATCCGACCCTTGGACTTTGGTTTTCTTTCTTTCACCGGGGACCAAATCTGAAGAGGCTTCATTGAGTTGAGTTTTGTGGGCGATCTCTTTTGCTGCAACTTTTTGTTCTTGCTTTGCTTCGTTCTCGTAGTCAGCAATGGTGGAGGAGTCGCCTTCGGGTCCCTATTTTCCTTGTCCATAGGATTGCCATCAATAATCTGCATCACCGTCCCATTTGGGCCTGTGACCGTCCGCATCTTGGGTGGATGAGGACGGAGTGAATTCGCGGGCCTACTGCCATCAAACAGCCCAGGGTTCCACCTTGCCAACAACGGATCGCTTTGCTGGGATGAGTGGGCTCAGAAGGCCCGGCTGACAACACCTCCCCACCAACAGAGATGGGTCCCGGCCTGCTGCAGCTTGGCTCACTCGAACTGGGCCCTGGCCCAAGTAAACCCTTACCCTTCCCTGAGACATTCCCGATCCCTTTTTCCTTTCCTTTCATAACATCTTCTCGCCTCCTGATCTCGTTAACCCCTTTCCTTTCTTGGCTTGGTCCCTGCTGCGGTAAGTTACCGTTGGGCGACGCCATTGACGGTACCGTTTTGATACCCTTCCTTACCCTTAGCGCCACTGTAGCCATTTTTGGTAATTGACTTCACCATTCGATTCCCTGCATCCTGATCGCTCTTTCCTTTTTTCTGATCCTCCCTGTAATTTTGCCTGGTTTTTCTCGTCACCAACATCCACGGGCCGAACCCCGGGCTGGTATCCTCCGATGTATGTGGGCTCGCCGGCGATGTCTCTCCGGTGATAAGCAGTTGCGCCGACGCTACAGTTGGGATGTTTGACGGACACTTTTCGGCACTATGCCCAATCTTTCCGCACTCAAACAGACCTCAGGGAGATTCTCGTACTCAACCTTCTGCCACTCATCATCAAGCCAAATCCTGGGAACCAAGGCCTTCGAGATATCAACTTCTACCGCCAGTCGAGGAAACTTCGCCCGCTCTTGATTCAGAGTATGATAATCCAGCTTAATAGTCAGTCCAATGAGATTTCCCAACGTCGTGAGCACCTCCTTATGATAAAAATGGATTTTCAGAGAGGGGAGCTGGACCCAGACGATCATCGTTTTTGGAAGAGGATCAGAAGCCTTAAACTTCGGTGACCACTGCTGTACAACCAGGTAATGGTCGTATATGACCCATGGTCCATCGGTTAAGGCCCGGAAATAGTCTTGTTCGTTATCCAGTCTGACAAGGAAGCAATCATGATTTCAGTCTTTGACCTCCATCGCCCCCGCCGGCCGCCATAAACTCTTGAGCCGATTGCACAACGAGATAAAACCGATTTTCAATCCCAGCAACCTGATCACAAGGTTTTTTTTCCATGGTGCACATAGCCTAGCTTTAAAATCAGCCGAAATGGTGAGTGCTGGTTCCCCATTCCGATCACTGGTCACCAGATCATGCTCACCTACCGGTGTCCAGCTGTGCCCTTGCTTCAGGGGTGTCGCCTTAATCGGTGTACCCACAACCGCCTTTGCATACGCAAAAGGTTGACCCGTCCCCTATCCCGCCTGAGATCCCCCCACCGGGAGCTGCACCGGACGTTCCTGCACCGTCAAAACAGAAGAATCAATAGCCATATCAATGGAACTGGTGACCGCAGCCACCGGGAAAAGCAACTGATTAGGTTCAGCAATCGCTGGAGAGCTAGATAAGCCAGGGGGTCGATCGGAAGGAAGCAGGATCGGCGCCGGAACCGAGACGCCGCCTAGGTCAGTTGAGAGCATTTTTTTGTGTGACCAACGTCCGAGAGAACTCATATTTATACTATACAAGAGGTGTAGCTGGAGCATTTAATGTCTTGTCAGACACCCTTAAAGTATGAATGGAAATTCTACATGCTCTTGTACTTTTATGTCCTCAACTCCTCAAACTCTAACATGGTTTTTATAGGTGTTTAGCCTCTAGTGCCCCAACTTTGTTTGTTTGTTGATTCGTGCGGCCCATCTATTGAACTTGGGCCACTTACCTTTGCTTGAACTTGTGACCTTGTTCTTTGTAGGTCTTCTACAATACCTAATAAGTAGGAATTCCTTATATATGTCTCTGACACTGTTCCTCGACCTTACGTATCAAGGGGAACTAAAAATATGGTATATCTATTACATGCATATATTTTTATGTTTTTTTTCTTCCAATATTTATAGTTATCAAAAGTTAAAAAGTTATTCGAACCAATTTCTTCCGCCCATTTGCAGATAGACACAAAAGTAGCCCAATATGACTTGGAGTCTGTCGGTATGGTTTATGTGCATTCTTGGGTGTGGCTTATTTAGGGTTTATGATTTTTGCATCTGTAGTTGTGTTTCTACAAATCAAATTCGATTTTATATATTTGTTTCTTTGATTGTTGACCACAAGATTCAAACTTAAGGTGTGTTTGATGTTTTCATCCCCACATTACCACTAAACCAATTCTTTGGGTTAATTGGCCTCTATATTTATTATCACTAAAATTTTAGAAAAGAAATTTTTATTTATTGGATTTGAAAAGCGAATGTGTTGACTAAATTTTTAGATTTGCAAAAGAAAAAGTTGGTGATCGAACAATTGGATTTGTCGATAAATTTGAATAGTTGAGAATTTTTATTGAATCCTAATGAATTCATATCTTTAAGCATGCTATGGGAGAGGATTTGGGCTCAATATTTTGTTTGGAAGCTGTGGTCCATGATGATAACTTTTTGAACGCACAATTTTGATAACTAAATTTCTGTAATGCAAAGAACTTTGATGCAGTAACAAAATTTAAGTAGGGTCATTTCAAGACTATTATTTACTTTTTCAAGACTAGTAAATATAGATATAGTATATACAATAAGAAGAATGAAACTATTTTGTTAATTTTTGTACAAGGAACTAATCTTATATTTATTACTATATTGACTATTTTATAAAAGGAAACAAAGTATATTTTAATGGAATAATTTATTAAGTTTTTAATATATTTTTTGTGTTAAATAGAGCGCGGCGGCAGGAACATACAAACTCAAAACAGAGATAAGCAGAGCAAAGCAGAGGATGTTACAAGAAATAGAGGATATATACAAAAACAAAGTTATACTTTAATAGTTATCTTTGGGGATTTGTACTTCAAAAGTGTAATGTTATTATGTGTGTTTTACTTGCAATAAGATTGTTTATAAGATATAGATTTATTAACGAATTAATGTCGGTTAAACTAATAAAGTGTTAATAGGAGGGGCTAGGGTGCTAACATTAGCTCCAGCCAATCAGAACATTTCGTTTGGATATTTTTTCTATTTAAATGAGTTGACCACAATTAATGAGGGGAAAGGGGAAGGAGGGGCACGCTTGGTATTATGAAAAATTGGGGAAGAAGAGGAAGAAAGGATGGGGGACCATGATCCATACCACAAAGCATACCACTAGTTCACAAAGCATGCCACAAAATTGTCCTATTTTATTTCAATGGTTATACAACTATAAATTTTTATAATGTCATATTTTATAAACATGAGAATTTATCATTTTGTTTGTAATGTCGTATTTTATTCAAAATGTGTATATGATTTGTTAGTTTCAACATAAACACCTTATGCTCATCTTGAGCATTATAATTTGATTAACTCTCAGATTTCAAAATCGGGGAGTTAGCAAGAAGATGATGAGTTGTAACAATAAGGCGAGCAACTGGTTGCAACTTATACCTAATATTGCGAACATTATTAGATGAATTGTTAATAATTAGTGCCAAATTTTAATACATTTTTATATTTGTTTTTAAATTATTTGTCCACATAGTGGTACAGAGTTTAAAATTTCTTTATATGTATTTGATTTGTTTTTAATGAATGTTTTGGATTATATAATAGAAACATAATTAGACAAGGGTAACAAGGTAATTTGCATTTCATATCCACAAATCTAATCAAACAAAATCCATAATCAAATTCAACAAGCAAACAATAGACTTGTTCAAATCCATAATTCCACCAAATCCATCATATATCCATGGTTTTCCAAAATCCAAATTTTACCAAAACCCTCATTTTTCAAATCCATGAAGCAAACGACCCGTTAGTGCCAAAAAACATTCAGCTGCATTTTGATACCTAAACTTTTTAAAATTTAGGGTAATGTCTATTTTTTATCCAAACATTTTTCATATTATTTTATACTATCCAAACCTATTAAAATGCTATTAATTAGCCAAATCTTCGTAAAGCATAAAAATATTAGTCATTTTTACATTATGTTTAATATTTTTGCACCTCTTTTCTTAGTTAAAATACTAAAATTTTGAAATATTGACCTTCATGTGTCTCTTCCAAGTCAGTATTATTTTGTCAAGTCAATATTACTAACAAAATTGCTAATTGAAAGTTAACATTTGGCTAATTCTTAGTATTTAGATATGTTTGGATAATATAAAAGAATCTAAATTTTTTTTGGATAAAACATAAACATTACCCAAAAAATTTACAAATAGATCCACAGTTAAGAAATTTTAGGCTGCTTCGAGAAATTTGTGGTTTGCTTTATGGGTTTTGTGGTGTGGTGAAGTTGTGGTCTCTTTTCTAAGATTAGTGGTTTTTTGTAGTGGTTTCTTGAGTTTGTTGTCTAAATTTTGTGATATGCTTCATGAAAATTATGACATACATTAAGAAACTTGTGCTCTGTTTTATAATTCTATAGTGTGGAGAGATACATATCATTTCTAAGGTTTGTGCTTTTTGTTGTCTACTTGTGGTGTGCTTAATGAGACTTGTGGTATTTTTTAGGAAACTTGTGCTATTGTGAGTTTGTAGTCTCTTTTCTAAGGTTTGTGATTTTTTGTGGTGTGATTTCTTGTACTTGTGGTATGAATTTTGTGGTTCACCCATTCCTCTCTCCATTTAATGCACAAGGACGACATGTCCCCCTCTCCCTTCATCAAATTTTTAATACTAATGATCAGCAATTCAACATGCCCCCTCCACATCTTCTAATTATTAATTATGGTCAACTCTTTTAAATGAAAAAGTTATCCAAGCAAAACGTTCCTATTGGTTGGAAGAAGTGTTAGCATCATTTAAAAAAAATGTGTTTACACCCTCACTTATTTCTTTAAGATTAACTAGCAGATTTAAACTGTAATAATATAAATAAAAATTAAAAAAAAAGGAAAGTACAGATAACAACAATCTTAATCAAATTCCATGTACTTGAAGACCACAACCGTCTTATTAGCTCCACTTTTCCTGTGAGCTTATGGAAGAAAAAAAAAATCTTCAAACCTCTGTTCCATAACTTGGTGTTGTTTTCATTAATGTTTATGATGAGCCCGACAACAAGATTGACATATATTTTACTAGATTGGTGTCCGACGCGTTGGTTGAAATGTCATTTGAATACAACAAATATATGATGTGTATATAAAATTTTCAAATTATTTGAAATATTAAATTTTGTATGACGATAAGGTGACATCAAAATTATTTTTTATCATCAATGATAAACACTGTAATTTTAATGATTACAATCAAATTTGTCAAACCGCTTTAAGTCATTGAGTCGGTCAATCAACTTGTTTGAAGTTTAATGGTTTTATTGGGTCCAACTTGTTTGAAATGTTTTAAACCTTTTTTTCAAGATATATGCATATAAAATAAAAATAATTAATTGACTAAAAAAATACCTATTAAAAATTCACATTACATAAAAATAACTACATATCTCATTACCCACCAACCATCCCCTTCCCTCTCTCTCCCCTCCCTCAACAATAGGACCACTGCTTTGTTAAAACCATTTTGGAGCACGTCTTTGGTCGGACCTGGTCCAGCCGATTAGCCGGTAGAGGTTTAACAACCTCGAATATAACACTCATGAATAATCATTCATTACTTGTCTATTTAATGATATAGTCACTTAGTTGTCCATGGTTGAAAAGAAAATTGACATAACAAAAAAAGAGTTTGTATGTAAAAGATTAGCATCATAGGAAACACATAATCATAACCTGTAGCCAATATATATTTTTTTTCTTAAGAAACAATACATATATATCAATATCTAAACCTTAAAGTATTCTACACAATACATTAAACCTACTTTGTGGTACCTACCTTGACAATGCACATGACCACATCAATGCATTCATTAAAACTCAAGCCCGTCTTTCGTTATTGTTCTTGTACTGCAGTTATTTCATATTAAACTAAATAACTCTGAATGATACATATGGTCAATTACACTATAAGATAAAAGATTTAAATAAGTAAAATCCTCTACAAAATTGGTATTCAGAAATAGTGTTCTTTTAAACTCACCCATGGGTCCATTAATGTCGTATTATCAAGAGATTTAGGATTTAACGATTAACTGAACTAAAACTTTCAAAGACTTGATCACTTATAGTTTGCATTACAATATCATTGCTTTATGATAGTTCTAAAAATTAATACTAAGTTAAAAATTCTACTCACATCTACACATTTAACTACTGCAATTCAATATGCAATTTTTGAATAAATTATATTTAGGTTGCAATTTTAAAATTATCCTCCATTTATAGGATAGATATAAATTAAATTTATTTGTTAAAATAAATTCAAATAAAAATTCAAATCTCAAACATCAAGGGAAGTACTTACGGAAGGGTAAGTGCGCTAGCTAAAAGTAGTGAAACAGTCATAGTAGAGAGGCATATTTTACCTATAACCCTTTATTTTTCTTATGAATAAGGAATAAATATAATTCTGAAGATAAATTCACCTTTCCTACTTTCACTCTCGTGGTCAGAAATTTAAAATGTTGAAAAACTGCCTCGAACTCTACAATAATATATAATATATTTGTAGATGGATGCGAAGCTGGTCGGCTCAATTCATGTAGAGCTCAGTTAGGGGTCAAGATAGGGTGCATAATCAGTTAGGCCTCAAGATAGTTATGCACCAATCAATAACTAAATCTGGACTCTTCATTTAGAAAATTCAGATATAAGGATGGAGAATTAAAAACCATTTTTATTTTCCCTAGCTTTCTTAATCGGCTCATATCTTCTTTGTTTTAACTTGGATTTTAATTTTTTTTGCATAGATTGAACGAGTTCATTGTGCTCTACAAAATGAGATACATTTTCAATACTTTTTAGGAAATTTTTTTTCTTGCCTCTCGGTACCAACTGCATACCATATGGTATCTTTTTCGTTTTTAATTCGTATTTGAAAACGTTTGCACAGAATGAACGAGTTCATCCTGATCTATTGGATCTACAAATTTCTGGGTGAACAAATTATAAGACAAAAAAATATCACAAAATACCACCCTGGTACGGGATGGTATCTTGTGGTACACAATGTTAAAAGTCGTAAATGACATTTAATATACTTCTACTATCATGTATTCAACCATCTTACAGTCTTGGTTTGTTCATATTACCATGATACGCTTTTCAAACCATAGGTATGCTCTTATTTCAATACTAGTCAATACCATATTGTATAGACTGGTAAAAAATGGCTCAATTTTTTTTGTTAGAAAAATATACCAAGTGATCATTTTGAATAGCACAATTAATCTGATCTAACTGTGCAAAAAAATTAAATTTCGACTTAAAACGAGTGAGAAATCGTTCATCAAAGATTAAGGAGGGGAAAATTAAAGGTTTTCGAGGAGAGAGAAGGATGCTGATGTCATACTGATGTGGACGGGTTACTTATGATTACTCACCATAAGGTTACTGACCTGATCCATCCTTCGGTTAGGAATAGTTTGTTTGTTGTATTTGAATCATGAATATGGTTGTTAAATTTCAAATTTGGTATATTTACTCCAATTTTGTTGTTTATTGATGAGTGTCGTCGATGAATTTAATTTTTTCGGATGCAAATGTTGGGATTTGGTTAGAGAGCCACAATGCAAATAAATCCATTATTAATATATCATACAATCTACGACGTGGACAATAAACTCCTTAAATTCATTATACATAAAATTCAACATATATATGAAAATTTCATTTGACCAAAATTCTCAGTAAATTTTTGTTTTGGTAAATTAGAAAGAAAACAGACAATTCAACACATATCAACACGGGACCTAATTAATGAATCAATTAATCTTGCGGCAGTCGCTTCTAATCTCCCCATTAGTCCCAGTCAGCGGCTGCATATTCCCCATCTTGACCATCGCCGCCGCGAAATCCGCCGCGAACCTCTGCGGGCTGGTGCTGTACAGCCTCACCAGAGCGTCGCTGGCCGCGCTGCCGCCGCCGAACAGCTCCTGGTCGGAGTGGAGAAGCCCTCTGTTCCGGAGCAGCGCGTCAAAGTACTGCGTGTCGAATCCCGCCGGAGTCCGGTCCATCGGCTGCAAGTTGTTGTCGCCTCCCGTCGGCGGGCAGGCTCGCTGCAAGGAGGCGGCTAAGTTGGTCTGGATGTTGGTGTCGTTGTAGATGCGGGTGCGGAACGTGGTGCAGCGAGCGAGCCCGATTGTGTGGCCGCCGGAGAGCGCCACCAGGTCCGTGAGGTCGAGCCCGTGGGCCTGGAAGCTGGAGAGGAGCTGTGGGAAGCTGAAGAATGGCGCCGGCAGGTTGCTGTTGGCGGCGTTGAGGCTGGCGGTTGTGGCGTCCCTTCTGCCGAGTAGAACTGAGTACGTGAAGCTTGGACCCCCCAACTGCATGTATATAGAGCACCATTTTTTAGGTCATTATTATAAGTTTTATTCATTAATAATAAATAGGGATCTAGAGTACGTGAGAGAGAGACAAATGCTCACGATAGAGACAGAATCGCGAGCAGCAACAGCTAAGATGTCGGCGCAGGAGACAACGCTCCTCCTGCATATTCTGTCAAGTTCCGTCTTGATTTTATCAACCACATCGTACCCTCTAACGGAGTTGAAGTTGGGACCCGCGGTTCTCTCCCCTGTAAAATTTGATGTGTCGTCCAGAAGAATCGATCCATCGCACCCCTAGAAAATTCATAGCAATTACACTCATATTCCATCATGATCGATAACTTGAGTTATTTGGAGAGATCGAGTGCATACATTGACGAAGCAGTCATGGAAGTGCATGCGAAGGAGTGATGCACCCATGCGGGGCTCATCGTTGATTGCCTGGTTGACAACCCTTCTGATAGTGGGTAACGCCTGAGGGCAAATTGAAGTGTAGAAGTCTGGTGTGAGTTGTGCGAGCACAGTTGGGCCTGGGATCAGAAGTGCAGCTGCTGCTATGGTGTACAAGAACAAAGCTTGCGGAGAAGCTGAAGCCATTGGTTAATAGGCTTGTGTTGCGGAGATTGAATGAGGAGACATCTTAGATTCCTTTGTGTTTATATACAGGTGCTAGCTAGCTGCTACCACAGGAACATCTTAGATTCCTTTGATGCATGCTCGTGGCCGTTGACATCAACAGAGTGGTGTTTAATATTATGCGAAGGCTAATTATTCTATCATTTCTATGTCGGGTAAAGCAAATTGGACAGATTAACTAATTGATATCATTGAGGTCGTTGTCAACTAAGAATGAGGATCACCTACCTAGTACTTAATAGTGAAACGGGTCATACTTGTGATAGAGTGCAAGTTATTGAGATCATTAAGACAATAGCCGAGTAATTCGAGTTCTTGAGACATGATGTAATTATTGTCTAGTTAAATGTTTTCTTCTATATATTGAAAGATTGATCGCAATATTGCGATTGTTGATACAAGATATGTACAATATGCAAATTATTATTCGTAAGTTGTGTTCTCCAACTTATCGATGTTAGTAAGGAACTAAGGATTTAAATTGGGAGTCCTTCCAACCTAAACAAGTTTGAGTTCATACTTGAGTGGAAATAACAAAAATATCCATCGAAATAAAAAACAAGTAAGGTAAAAACTCCTAACAAAATGAATTGCACATGAATATATGAATAAAATCTAAATCCAAATATTATATATAATGGATGGTCCTGGTAATTATCTCTCTATCCAACCTAAACTTGCCGATGTATAAGTTTTTCCCATAAATATCTTCATTCTTTCTCCCACCATCTTCCACATTCGTAGTATATATATATATAACAAACTTAATTATGAACCGGTGATTCTTTGTATATTTCTCTTAGTGTTGTGATTTATTTTTATGTAATGTGGATTTACTTGTAATGAGCAATACATTTAGTTGAGATGATAGAAAACTACTATAATTGGATAAAACTCAAACTAATAAACATAGGGAAACATATATCACCTTTGTGTGGATATAAATATGGATTATGGATAAAATCTGAACTTGTTAAAATAAGGGTTTGTTTATAATACAAAATCTCTTTATTATGTGGTGCTATAAAATCACATATGGATTTCCATAAAAAATAAAACGATGACTGACATAAGAGGGGGTGTAATCTAAGGTCATATTTTCAAAGCGATAATGAGGGAAAATATTGGTTTAGGAGATAATTATGTAGATTTTTTGGGGATAGAGTGAATGTCTAGGTGATATTTAATTAGGAGACTTTTCAAATCTATTAAGAATCTTCAAAAAATCATATCTTATTTGCTTTACATTGGATTTAAAAATGTATGTAGAATAATCAGGTTTTTTTTGTTGTTGTATACATTTTGATATTTTTTGGATAAAAGAATATTCATATAATCTTAATACCGCCATATCATGATATTATTTGTGTAGTTATATTAGGATATAACAATGATATGATGGTATTGTTAGTCTTACTATAGTAGTGAGATCATTATATGACAAGCGTGAGATGAATTTATGAAGTCTTACCATAATGGTATAATCTATAATGTTGGTATGATAGTCGCGAGATCGTATGAAAATTTTATATTGACCATAAGAAAATTGATGTCATCATACCACTATCATAATATCCAGATATGAAAGTGGTATGATAATATAATATATCTTACTATAATGGTAAGATTATGATACGACCGTGATAAGATGATAACACGTGTTTTTCAAGAGATAATTATTTTTTGCTCAAAATATTTACAAATGAATATTGTGTAAATCATAATTAATGATTTCTTTCTATACTAAAAAATTAAATTGAATTAAAACGAAGATATGTCATCATATCGCTGACATATCATTTATGATAGAGATAATATTACTACCAACAACTGTTTTTAGACTTATTTTTTATTTTGCTCAAAATATAGCAAAATGTGTTGCTATGACTTGAAGACAGATTATAACTGTCATCGACTAGAATTCACAAAAATCAAAGGGTCTCACTGATTAGGTTGGACTTTTATTTTCCAGGTTGGATTAGGTTAGGTTGTCTGAAGAAGATACTATATATATTTTATTGATTTCTATAATATGTATATACTCAAGTATATTTTATTCATTTCTATAACGGGTTAATTGCATGGTTGGTCACTGAGATCAGTGGCGGACCTAGTAAAGGGCAGGGTGTGCGTCCGACACACCTTCGCCCGGAAATTTTGTGAGGTACCCATATATTTTTGATACATTTTATTTAATTCGGAACTTCCGACACACCTTAAATAATTATAAGCGACACACCTTCATTATACGAGAATGATTTTCTTGTTATAAAGTTATTTATCTTAATTAGTAATACACAATAATAAGTAAATTCAAATAAGTTTCAAAGTTATTTATGCTTGTTTTAGAGTAACCCACACCACAACCTAGGGATGGCAATATGGCGGGTTTGCCTAAACCAACCTCATCCCCATTTCCAAATATTCAAACTCATACTCGTCTCATACCCAGGCAGTGGAAGGTCTTACAAACTCATCCCCATACCCGCGGTTTTCAGATACCCATGGGTAATATCGCCCCAACAACTACTCACCATTAATCAAAGAATATGGTGACAAATATGGATACTACCCACCCAAAATTATGGAACTAATACATAAGAGGATGAAAATACGGTTTGGGTGTCATCAATTACATTTTAACACTTTATTTTTTCTTTTAATTACCCTTCATTCGATTGACAAGTTACAATATACTCCTTATATTTTATGTATATAACATAATATCCTTGGTGGGCGGGTTTGGGTATGGGTATGGGGCGGGAGAGTCAAAAACCATACCCGCCCCATACGCAGTCAACGCAAGGATTCCCGCGTTGACTAGGCCGGAGGAGGTCGGGTACCTACGACCATGAGTTTGGTTGTCATCCCTACCACAACCCAACAATGGAAAAAATAAACATAACCCCATCCTTTGAAACTCACCGTTTCCAACGTTTGACCCATCCTTTATTGAAAATAAAAAACTCACCCTTACCCCGTTTTAGTTTCTAATTACTGAGAGTCACTACCACTTCTCCCTTTTCTTATACCCTTTAGTTTTACTTGCTTTTGGAAGTTGGTGTTTACTTTACATGTTGCAATTGAAAGTTGCGAAAGATTTCAGCTGTGAAGATAATAAGGAATGAGCTTTGAAATCGGTTGAGTGACCAATTTATGAATCATTGTTTAGTTGTGTATATCGAAAAGGATTTGCTTCGGAACATAAGCAATGAATGTATTTATAGATATTTCTAATACACATGAACTTTATGAATTAATTTCTAGTAATTTCTATTATTTTTTCAATAATTTTTTTAATTAATTTTTTAATTATTATATTATTTTATCGGCGACACACCTCTCCGACAATTCTGGGTCCCCCACTGACTGATATTACAAAATACGTTCAAGTTTGGTCACTCGAAATATTTAAATCCATTGGTGGTACTTCAGTTTACTGAAACCTTTCACGTTTGGTCACTCTCCGTCCAACTCCGTTAATTTTGGCTGATGTGGCAGTCAACTCTCAAAGTTGACCGTTAACTTAGTGACATGGCAACTAAAAAATTATTAAAAAAAACTTTTATATTTTCCACCTCATTATTACATTCATTAAAAAATAAAAAAATAAAAAACCTAATTTCTTTTCTACAAACCCCATACCCTACCCGACCCAGCCTCTCGCTGTCGCGGAATCCGGCCACCGTAGCAACACTCCCCACCACCACTACCTGACTCCGACTCCTGCCCCATCCCCGTCCTCAACGCCGGCTTCAATCCCTCCTCCCACTCCTCCGCTGCCGCCTGCGCCGGCGACATCCAATCCAACGGTATTGTACTAAGTTGTGTTTGACGGCGTAAACAAAAGATGAAGAAGAAACCGTGGAAATGAATCTACTCTTCTTCATTTATAAATCACAATCCTCCCCAACCCAACACCCTATCTTTTCCGCCCTGAAATCCCAACTGATCACAAGCAGCATCAACCACCCAAGCCGAACAGTGGGCATCGCCGGGCTTATCTGGAAGACCGCTCTCGACGCCCGCAGCCGCAGAGGATCGGCAGCGTCGGCCTCTACAGCAGTTTCACTAGTCAACGTCCGGCCAAGACTGAAGACGCCGCTTCCGGACTGATGCATCGAGAACCTATACTAGATTACCACGACACTCGCCGAAACGAGCGTATATCCAGAAATCGAGCACTTTGCAAATCAGGTGAAGGAGTCCGTGGGCAGGGTGGACGGGGAGGCTCCAACACTCTGCCCACCACCAAGCTCCAAACCCTGAAATCGCTTTACCAATTCTCCAACTTTTAGCGGCCGGATTCCGTCGCCACCCATTTCCCGACCCACGACCATGTCCTGGATTACCTCCAATCCTACGCCAACCATTTTGAGCTGACGAAGCACATCAAATTCAACACGAAAGTAGTGGGCATCGAATACAGGGGAGTTGCAGAGGAGGAGGTGGAGGCGTGGGCGCTCTGCGGCGAAAACGGCGACGTTTTCGGCTCCAGGGGAGGGAAATGGTACGTCGAAGTTCGAAGAAGCGATGGGAGCGACGAGAATGAAATGTACGAGGAGGATTTTGAGATACTTTGCGTGGGGAAGTATAGCGGCGTGTCGAATATCCCCGATTTTGCTCCTGGGAAAGGGCCTGAAGCTTTTCAAGGGATGGTGATTCATTCGACTCTGTATTTTGGCTTGGAGGCAGGGGAAAGTAAGGAGCTTGTGAAAGGAAAGAGGGTTGCTGTCGTTGGTTTCCGGAAAATGCGATGGATATCGCTATGGAATGCTCTGAAATCAATGGTAAGAAGGAAATCAACTTTGTTTTGTGTTTGCTGAAATCGACTCTGTTTTTTTTTTTTTTTTTTTTACAATTTAGTTGCAGGGAAGGGAAATCCGTGCAGGGTATTGTTGGAGAAGCTGGCGGCGGTCGTGGAAGTGCATCGCCAGTTTCACGAGCAGTTGGAAGGGCTGGCCGCGAGTAACAGCACCGACGACAGTGCGAGCCTTTACATGTTCTCCAGCATTCTCAGGATGGGGCTGTGCCAAGTGGATTTCGGGTGCGGAAATCCGTCGTGGGAGGAGAAGCCGGTGTCGGGGACGAGGATGGGGTAGGCGTCGGAGTCGGGTGGTGGTGGTGGGGAGTGTTGCTACGGTGGCCGGATTTCGTGACGGCGGAGGAGATTGAGTCGGGTAGGGTATGAGAGTTTGTAGAAAAGAAATTAGTTTTTTATTTTTTTTTATTTTTTAATGAATGTAATAATGAGGTGGAAAATATAAAATTTTATTTTTTAATATTTTTTTAGTTGCCATGTCACTAAGTTAACGGTCAACTATAAGAGTTGACTGCCACATCAGCCAAAGTTAAAGGAGTTGGACGGAGAGTGACTAAACGTGAACGGTTTCAGTAAACTGAAGTACCACCAATGAATTTAAATATTTCGAGTGACCAAACTTAAACATTTTTTGTAATCTCAGTAGTGACCAACCATGCAATTAACCCTTTCTATAACACACCAGATTTTTACTTTATTTATGTAAATCCGTTCCACTCTTGTCGTCCCTACCTCTGAGTCTCATGCATCCTTGAATACCAAACCCAATGACCCTTGAATAATAAACTTTGTAATAATAATAATAATCATAAAGCAAGTCTGGGGCTATTTCATTGGTAGACGTAGACGATGTAACAGTTATAGGAGTATATGGGCTATAATTTAAACGTTGACCCAACTTGTGGAAGAAATGCCTCTGGCCTGCTAATAACTGTTGGGTATGTGATCAGGTTCGTCTAGGTTCGTCTAATAGCCGCCTAGCTAGCTAGCTAACTAACATTCGACATCCTCCAATAAGATTGGAGCTAGCCAACTGGCATGCTCCCTAACTATAAGTACAGGAACCATATATATAAGATAGATCGAGTCAAAACATTTAAAGTTCGGAGAAGTGAGCCTGTCCCCAAGTCAACACACTTAGCTAGGCTTTCCTTTTTGTAACTAACGCGAATGTCTCCCTATAAATAATGGTTAGTACATTTAAGGTCACACATGTGACATTATTGTCGCTACACATTTCATATTGCTTTTCTTTTATTAGAAACTTTAAATTTACTTCGGATGGAGGGTTAAGAAGGCTACCAAACGACCATTGCAAATGGTAACTCTTTTGTTTATCTTGCAATCGAGTCATTTGTACCTTACCTTTTGGTCTTTCCTTAGCAAAAAAAAAATATATCTTGTAATCTCACTACCGTGACGAGTGACCGTCAACTTTACACTTTTTGACTATATAAGGACCAAAAATTAGATTTCGAGAAGAAGAGTCTAGAGTGAGAAAGTGCATTTGCTGGGTAGAGAGAAAGTGATGAAGTAGATCCCTAGATGAAGCATTGGAGCTTCAAATCACCATTGGACCATCAAATCCATCACAAAGGGTTGAATAGTGAAGTGCATGCAAGAGCAAGAACCCACTCCTCTATGATGTTTTCTTCTCTTGATCTGGTGTATTTTTCTTTCTCCGACCATGAGCTAAACTTTTTATCACTTGGGTGTTGTGAAATTCTAGTTGTATATGTTAGATAAGATGAATGATTGATCTTCTTTGATTGACTCTTGATTGTATATAGATTTGAAGTATTTCATGAATTGTGTTGGGTATTGATAAAATCCTTCCAATTATGGCTATTAACCTAACGTCGAGAATATCCAATTAGGTCAGTTCAAACACTTACCTCATTCTTCATTGCGCGTTGATGGATCGAGCATGAAATCATGGTACAATGTCGTATTGGATCATATTCCAATAGTGGAAATCTATTTGTCACTCCCTAGGTGTTCTATTTCACCGGATGTGGAAACTCTCCCTTTTGAATAGTCTGTTCTAGGTGAGTTTGAGTAACTCAAGAGGGATCTCTAGTAGGAATAAGATTCTCCGCAGTGTAAATCATGAGTTGAGAAACTTAGAACATCGTTTTTCGGTCTATTTTGCTACTAAAGGGAAACAATGCGCGAGTGACTTTCTCACTATTTCGACCAAACTTTCTTTGCTTTGTTTTTTAGTTGATTAGTTAACTCATACTTCGATTTACTAGATAACACGTTATTCCGCGAAGTAATAGTACATTTGCTGCTCGAGTTGATAATCAAACTTCAATTCTACTATACTACACTCGATCGTGGTTACACTTGACCACGGATGGGATAATAATGCTAGTAGGAACATGTGAAGTTTTTGGCGGCATTGCAGGGGAACACGGCAAGTTATTTGAAAAAGTGAACTATTTGTTACTCCATTTTTATTTTGTGATGTTCTGTGTTGTGTGTTTGTTTCTTGAGTTGTAATACAGGTTTATGGCGAGGAGCAACCTGAGATAATTGCACCCGATCAACCACATAATCAACTATAGCTTTGTGCCATCTTGCAAGGGAAAGAGAAATAAGGGAATCTCGGGAGAGGTTGACCACCTATGACCCTCTGGAGCAATAAGAAAAAGAAGTTCAGATCAAATTTGAAGCCATGGCGAAAGGAAATAAAGTTCACAATGAAGATAATAATATGGAGGAACCGATAAGGACAATGGGGTACCACTTCATCCCAAGGCTCGCAGACATCCAACCAAGCATCTGATATAGATTTCCATTGTTGCCAACAACTTCAAAATCAAGACAAGCGTCATCTCCATGATCCAAAATAATATTCAATTTTTCTGTCTCAACCATGAGGATCCAAGAGACCACACAATCTGTTCTTGGAACTCACAAATGGGATTAAGGTGAACGATGTACCTCAAGAGGTGCTTCGCCTAAAGTTGTTTCCATATTCATTAAGTGGAAGAGCAAGGATATATGGCTCAACAACCAAGATCCCCTATCCATCACATCTTGGGAGGACCTTATGGGAAAGTTCATGGCGGGGTACTGTCCACCATCAAAGATCGTCGAACTTCAATGAGATATTACCCATTTTCTCAAGAAGATGACGAAACACTCTGAGACGCTTGGGAATGGTACATGAGGTTATTCCTCTATTGCCCCCACCATCGATTTGACAATCATCTCAAGGTCAAAACCTTCTACAACGATTTATTTCATGAAGACCACATGCTTATAGACAACATATGTTAAGGGAAAATGCTCACCAAGATGCTGCCTCATATGACTCAACTCTTTGAGGAGATGGCAACACACGGTTATGACTTATGATTGGGTAGCACAATAAGAGGGTAAAATTCAAGGAAAAAGACACTCATATGATGGAATCCTCAAGTTCAAAGATCGAAGACTTGATCAAGACCATTAAGACCAATGATATGCTTTGAGTAGCTGGCCTAAAGCTCAAGTGCACCATTATAAGTGATGCCAAAGTTCAAATCACACTATGGATAAATGCCAAGTGATTTTGGTGGCGAAAACGCCCCAAGAACAAGTAGGCTTCATCATCAATGTTAGGGGAGGTGATAATCCCTATAGAAATACGTATACATAGTGGTGGTGTCAATGTTCTTATAACGTATAAATAGGGGTGGCGTCAACGTTCTTATATGCATGATGATATGGACTATTGTCATGATGTAGCTAATTTTGAGTCAACACTCGCCCTCGTGGGTTTTGTTTCTAATGACCTCTTTGAGAAATTTCTTGGGCTAGGTAACCAAGTGTTGGAGAAGTCATAGTTGCTGGTAGGGATGGCAACAAAACCTGAACCCACGGGTACCCATCCAAACCAACCCGGTCAACGCGGGTAAAATCCGTGTTGACGGGTATTGGGCCGGGTTTGGGTTTGACCCGTTCACTATTCATCAGGTTGGGTTTGGGTTTAGGTAAACCCGATCCATGGGTACCCTCCCACACTCATATAGTTGATTTTCTCGGTATATTTAATATTCTAAACAACTAATCTTATTTATTTTGTGGAGACATGTCTAATTTTTGCTTTCAAATTGTGTAGAATGAAGTTGATGTTATCGAGTGGAGAGTGAAGAAACTTAATTGAAAGGAAGAAGATTTCAATTAATCATATTATTTATGGATAATTTGTGATTTGCTTAAATTTTCTTGAGTTTTCTAGATTGGTGTTGAACAATTTGTATAGTTAATTTGTGATTTGCTTGAATTTTCTAGAATGGAGTTTTATATATGGATAATTTGTATTGAGAGATTGATATTTGACTTTAATTTTGATAGAAACTTGTTATTGTAAATTTTTTACGACAAAAACCCGTGGGTACCCATGAACCCACGGATACCCAGCGGGTTGGGTTGGGTTTGAGTTTTTCAAACCCAGTGGGTTTTACCTCGGGTTTTTTTTCACGAATAAACCCATGGGTTTGGCAAAACCCGACCCATTGCCATCCCTAGACTTGCTGGAGCAATTGGTGGTGTTGGATGAAGCGGAGGTGCAAGAACAAGATGCACCAACGGAGTCGATTTCCAAATCCGAAAGGATCACCGCCTTCTTGGAAGAGCCACCAGAGCTAGAGCTCAAGCATCTCCCCAGTCACCTCAAGTATGCGTTCTTAAGGGAGGGTGACAAGATTATAGTAATCATAAGCTCAAATCTCATACTCGAGAAGAAGGAGAGACTGGTGGATCTACTAAGGTTACACGAAAAGGAAATCGTTTGGAAAATTATTAATACTAAGGGATCAACCCCTCCTTATGCTCTCACAAGATTATGATGGA